GAGCATATAGAATTCAAGACTAGTGCTCACACACTCAACTCTCATTTATGTGGTGAGTAAAAGATGTACTTGATAGCTCTCCAACCAACCCCGTTACTTGTGAACAATGCCCACCCATCTCACACTCTCGTGTGTTTAAAACAATGAACGCTCAACCTACGAGTCCAATCGAAATATGTCATATCATAACTTACATTGATAAACAACACTTTCACATTTACACAACTCTATGCACAAGATCGGAAGGTCTTTAAAGCTTGTAATGTAAGGCTAGGGTAAAGGGTAGGATAAATTTGGTAATATGTGAGAGAAAAGTTATGCATTAAGGGAGCCAAATCCTAACAAACCCATGATCAAAAATAAAATGATGATCATACATCTCCAACAACATAACTAACTCCAACATGAACCACTAAATACAACTCCAATCAACATAAACAAACCCATTACTTACAAAATTCACTCATAAAAATATGATAATGTAGAACTTGAGTGAAATACAAACTTTGAACTCATTCTCTTTTTTTTTCTTTTCAAACTTTAATTTTTTTCTTCTTTTTTTTCTTGAACAACCTTCAAATAGAACATTTGAGTATTAAAAATTTTTCCTTTTGCTCTTTTTTTCTTTTTAACTCATATTGGAAATTTCAACTTTGTAACACAACATATCAATATTTTCCAATCATAAAATCAAAGAACAATCACTCTTCTTTTATTCCCACATTGGGCAAATAATGTGCACACCACAACTCCCTCACCTCACCAACTAATAGCTCCCCCAATCCAAGCTTGGGACTAGTAACCAATGGGGCTCATATAGGCTTGTAATGTGGCTAAATAAACAATAAAAGGGCACAAGCAACAACATGGGTAACAAGAAGGAAAAAAATGTATCTAAATACTCTAAAGGCTACCTAAAAGAATGAACGCCTTCGTCCTTCTCATGTGCATAATAATAAGTCATGAAACACTACTCATAGTTGTAAACCAATACTCAAATTCATTGACATACCAGGAACTATGGAACTATCACACATTCCTAACCAAATCAACTAGTCAAGCACTATATTCACAAATAGTTGGCAAAGTTGACGCATGTTTAGGAATCCAAACAATTAAACTTCAAATCATGACCAACAAATCCACAATGCTCATTATCAATAACCAAGAATCAAAACAAATTTTCTCAAGAAAGGGGCATAGAGAAGCATGATTTACAATTCATTGGAACGTATTTTTTGGATTTTTTTTTTATTTTTCAATTTGTTTGTATTTTTCTCATAAAGGAAAGCAATAAAATCTACATTAGGAAAGCAATAAATATAGAAAAGAGAAAGAAAGTTACCATATATACAAGAAATCTCCCCCCAAGCCAAATCAAGAAATGCCCTTATTGACTTGGGAGGGTAGCTAGGAGAAGCTACTCCTCATCGTCATCCATCCTCTCATATCCTCCTCCATAGCTTGAGCCGGCACCACCCTGGCTCGGTCCAGCACCACCATAACTCGAACTACCTGCAAAGTAGTTAGGGTTCACATTCCCCCCCATACCCCAAAAAGGAGCGTCACCCCCATATCCATGAACTGAAGAGTAGTCCACATAAGTATCATACGCACCGGGTGAGAATACCCTCCTTGGGGGTATTGGAACCAATCGGGAACTAATGCCTCGGGGGGAATAGCCCCTCGGCGTGCATAATCATCGTACATAGGGTATAGACCCCTTCCGAGGTTCCTCTCTATGTGTCCTACCCGCCCATCCAAGGTGCTTAACCTAGAATCTAGGGTTTGCATCATACCCTCAACTCTCCCTTGCCTGATCTCAATACGGTCTAATTGGCCTCTAAAAGCCTAAAAGTCATGAGGGGCATTGGGGTCGACATTATAGTCGACCGAGGAAGTGGGTGCACCATAGGTGAAGGGTGGAGGTGGTGGGTAGTGTGGTGAATGGTGATGGGGGAGTGGTCTAGTGGAGATTGGTGGGGTTGTGGTGAAGGGTGAGGTGGTTGAACCTCGCCTTGACCGTTAATCTCAATAGTATAAGAAGGCTTCTCCTTCTCAAATTTGGTCAAGGCGGGGTTGGGTAAGGTGAAGGCTTTGTCCCTCCTACCCGATTGTCGATGGACTATCCACCAAGTGTCACCCCCCACGGGTTGCACCCAATTTAGACTCCCTAAATAGGCTAGGTCCATGAGGTTTGATCCTACAACTTTCCTATGCCCATCCGGGTTCTATCCTAGGTGTTTTTTTGGCAATGTGGGTCACTAACCCCCCAAAATAAATAGGTGCCCTAGACCTACTAGCTTCGACCGCATTGGCCGCCCTTTGAAAGTGATTGGCTGTCCTATGGGGTATATTCAATTTTTCAGCGTTGGGAATTACATAAGATGCCAAAAGTTCCAATTCATCTCTCCTCACATTTGCCGGTTCATGCCTCCCTAAAATAGTGAGGCCGGCAAATTTTTGCCAAAATTTTGGGACGGGATGTTGAATCCACGTCCCTTTGGCATGTTGGAGGTTAACCAAATCCTCCCCAGTTAGCCTCTTGTAGACCACGACAGTGTGGTCTTGAGAGGGTTTAATTAGTTTATCCGATTTTAAATCAAACAAATTTTCAAATTCTTTAAGAGTTAGTCTCACATCGTTGTTTAATAATCGGAATTATACATGAGTGATTAATGCATTCATTTTAATAACATTAAAACTTGAAATAAATTCTAATGTTAAATAGTCATACATATCATGGCACATGTGAAAGAAACCACTCATGCCTATACCTTTGAACAATTTTTCCACATATTTTTCTAAACCTAATCTAGCTAGTGTGGGATGATGAACAAAACGGGTAGAGATTACCTGTCGATCAATGAGGTTTAACATCCTAGCTTGTTGCTCCTTCGAGGTGATGACAACCTCCTCCCATCCCGGTATTTGAAGGTCCGGCTTGACCGTTGGTTGTGGTGCCCTCGAACTTTCACCCCTTTGTGTCCTTGAACGCTTGGAAGCCATTGTATGTGGAAAATTGGGTATTTGGAGCTTTCTCTCTTAAAGGGTTTGAAGGAAGTATGAGAGAAAGTGGGAGAAAATAGGTGGAAAATGTAGAGGAAGTTGTGAGGATTAAGAATATGTAAGAAATTTAAGGTTTTGATGGGTAAATTTGAAGAGATCTTGGATTGAAGGTGTAGTTGAAGGTTTGAAAATGGAGGTTTTAGAGAGAGAAGGTGTGAAGGAGAAAGAAGAAGTAAGAAGAAAATAGGGTCATAGAGCGTTGACTTGCGTTGACTTTTCTCTGTTCTCTCTCCTTCCATGGTGATTTGATTTTGATTGTTTTTCTTCAGCTTAATCGGTTCCAATGGCTTGAAAGAAGAAGCAATCTACTCCTCAACCCTCAAACAACTTGAATCATCCTTTTAAATCTTCATTATCTCTATTGAATGATGGTGTTAATAGGTTGAATGTGTCTAGACTTTCGGGCTCTGCTTCGATTCCAGAAATTGATGAAGATCCTGATGAGCTTGTCACTCCTCCTTCTCATTTGAGTCGTTCAACTGAGAATATTACTAGAGCTGAGCTGAAAGCCCTTGAGGATTTTCATGCGCGTCTGATTAAAGCCAATAAAACAGTGCCCAGATCTACTGTTTCATTGGATCTCCGAGCTTCTTCGTCTGAACTTAATGCAGGTCGTGCTTTAACAGGTGATACTATGGTGGCTGAAGATAATCCTGGCCTCAATTTTGGTTCAGTTTCGCGAATTCCAGAGACAGCAGTTCCTGCTACTATTCCATTGGTTTCTGGGGTCGGTTATGCTCCGATTGCCGACCCGGTTTCTTTGGAGGATTGTGTGGTACCTCCTCAGTCTAATATTCCTGCTACTAAGCCAGGCATTGCTAAGCTCACTGCTAAGGGTTCGACCCTTTCTTTTGTAGCTCCTATGGTGAAAGATGGCAAGTCTGTTGCCATGTTACAACAAGCAGAAATTACTGAAGGTAATCTTAAGTTGAAGAATTCTGTAATTTTCTATGTCATAGGCTACTATCCTACTATAGCTGTTGTTCATAGATATATTGCTGAAAATTGGAATGTTGTAGCTAAACCTGATGTTTTTTGGCATGATGATGGCTACTTTCTGATTAAAATGCAAAACTCTAATGATATGAATGTTGTTCTTAGTGCTAGTCCGCACATGTTCTTTGGTAAGGCGGCTATTGTTAAGCCTTGGTCTGACAAATTTGACTTTCATGCTGAGGTTTTGAGAACTGTTCCTATATGGGTGAAGTTACCTAACTTACCTTTGATTGTTGGGGTGTGGACACCCTGAGCAGACTGGGAAGTGTCTTAGGAGTTCCTTTATGTGCTGATGAATGTACTTAAAAGCAGTTGAGGGTCTCCTTTGCTAGGTTGCTCATTGAAGTTGATATAACAAAGGCTTTACCCAAGACTATCTGGTTTGAAAGCCCAGATGGTGCTTTGATTGAACAAAAAGTTGTTTTTGAATGGACACCCCCCTTTTGTAGCAAATGTAACAAAGTGGGCCATGACTGTGCTAGGAAGGTTCAGCCCCAAAAGAAGCAGGTGGCTTCTAAGGAGCAGCCTAAGCAAAAGGTGTGGGTTGTTAAGCCTCAACCTGCTACTGTTCCTACACCTGGGCCTAGTGTGCCTGAATCAAGGGGTAATGGCTCTATTCATAATGCTGGTGTTTTCACTCCTGCTCCAACTACTGTGCAAGCTAATTCTGATGATGATTGGAGAGTGGTGGGAAGGAAGCAAAGAAGTCATAGTAATCCTCCTGTCTTTACTAGTGTTCCTAATTCTAATACTTATGCTGCTCTGCTGAAGGATGGAGATGGTGCTGGAGAACTTGTTCCTATCGGGGGTGATGGTAATCCCCCTCTGGGGTCATGATTATCCTATCATGGAATATTAGGGGTCTTAATGATCCCTGCAAAGTAGTTTCTCTTAAGAAACTGCTAGCTTAACAGTGTGTGGGTGTTGTTGGTATTATGGAAACTAAAGTAAAGTGTGACAAGAGTGTTAAGCTTCAGAAGAAATTTGGATCTTCTTGGTCTTGGTTTTGTAACTACTCATCTTCACATAGGGGTAGACTCTGGGTTGGCTGGTCTCATGACAAGGTTAATCTTTTAGTCCTCTCCTCCCATGAGCAGTTCATTCATGTCCAAATTAGCTCCAAGGATCTTCAACATCAGATTTTCTGTACTTTTGTGTATGGCTTACACTCTATTCATGATAGGTTACCTCTCTGGGATGGTATTTCTAGTCTTGGAACTGTTTCTGGGCCTTGGCTTATTATTGGTGACTTTAATTCTGTTCTCAATTCTTATGATAGAGTTAATGGTAATGCTGTCACTGATTATGAGGTCAATCATTTTAGAAGTTTTGTTGACAATCTTGATCTTTGTGAGCTTAAGAGTAAAGGTTCTTTTTACTCTTGGTCTAATAAGGGTCATGGTAATACTAGAATTGCTATAAGGATTGATAGGGGGCTTGTGAATCAAGCTTGGTTGAACAAGTATTCTCATGTTGAATCTATCTATCTTCCTCCTCTCCTTTCTGATCACAACCCTCTCTTGGTTGAAGTGAGTAAGTTTATTGCTACTAAGGGGAGACCTTTTAGGTTTCTTAATTTCTTGGCTGATCATGCTGATTTTTGTTCCATTGTGGAAAAAAGCTGGCATAGTGTTACAGATTGTTCTGCTATGGTTACTATTTGGCAGAATTTGAAATCTGTCAAAAAGAACCTGAAAGATCTGAACACTAAGTATTTTGCTAATGTTGATGAGAAAGTTGATGTGGCTCTTGCCTCTTTGGAAGCTATTCAGAACCAGCTTGTTGTGGATTATTCTAATTCTAACCTTCATGTTAAAGAGGCTGAAGTTGTATCTATGGTGAAGCATTGGATGTGCATCCAGGAGTCCATTTATAAGCACAAATCTAGGGTTGATTGGATTAAGCTAGGGGATTCCCGTTCTCACTACTTCTTTTCTGTTATGAAGCACATGCAAGGTAGAAATAGAATTGATTCTATCTTCACTGAAGATGATGTCCTTTTGAAAGATCCTATTCTTATTGAAAATGAGATTGTGGGGTTCTATAAATGGATCCTTGGTTCTAGTGCTAGTTCTCTCCCTGTTGTTGACTTAGCCACTATTAGGAGAGGTTCTCAACTCAGCTCTAGCTCTATTGATATTTTGACTTCTGTGGTTACTACTTCTGAGATTAATAGTGCTCTAGCTCATATTGGAGATGATAAGGCGCTGGAATTGATGGTTTTAATGTTGTTTTCTTCAAAAAGGCTTGGCCTATGATCAAAACTGATATTTATGCTGCTATCTTCTCTTTCTTTGAGACTGGTGTCATTGCTAAGAAGTGGAATTGTACAACAATCACCTTAGTACCTAAGGTTCAGCATCCTTCTTATGTCAGAGAGTTTAGGCCTATTGCTTGTTGTACCATGTTGTACAAGCTGATCTCCAAAGTTCTCACAAACAGGATTTCTAAAGTGGTGGGGACTGTTATTAATGATGCTCAAGCTGGGTTTATCCCGGGTAAGCACATTGGTGACAATATTCTCCTGGCTACTGAATTGATCAAAGGCTACTCTCATAAGTTTGTTTCTCCTAGATGCATGATCAAGATTGACTTGAGAAAGGCCTATGACTCTGTTGAATGGCCATTTTTGCAGACTGTTTTAGAAGAGCTTGGTTTTCCTCATTCTGTTGTGAAATGGATTATGACTTGTGTCTGCTCTGTTTCTTACTCTGTAATGGTTAATGGCTTTCCTGCTAAACCTTTTTCTGCAAAAAAAGGCCATAGGCAAGGAGATCCTATGTCTCCTTTTCTTTTTGCTCTATGTATGGAGTACCTCTCTAGGTGCCTTAAGGAAATGACTGGGAATCCTAATTTCAATTTTCATCCTAGATGTGAGAAATTAGGTATTACCCACATGATGTTTGCTGATGATCTTCTCCTCTTCTCTAGGGCTGATTCCATCTCTTTTCAGCTTCTCTTGCAGGCTTTCCAGAAATTCTCTTGTGCTTCTGGTCTGATGGCTAATTTAAGTAAGAGTGAGGTTTATTTTAGAGGTATCTCTGATTCTGATAAAGATCATCTGCAAAATGTTCTTGGTATGAGTAGAGGTAGTTTGCCTTTTAGATATCTTGGGGTGCCCTTGTCTTTTAAAAAGCTTACTATTGCTCAGTGTAGGCCTTTGGTTGAAAGGGTTACTGCTAGGATTAGATGTTGGACTTCTAGACACTTGTCTTATGCTGGCAGGTTATAACTTATCAAAAGTGTTCTCTTTGGTATTCAGGCTTATTGGGCTCCGATTTTCATTCTTCCTAAGAAGATTCTTAGGGAAATTGAAACTAAGTTCAGGGTTTTTCTTTGGACTGGGAAGAACACTTATGCAAAAAAGGCCCCTGTCTCCTGGCATCATATGACTCTTCCTAAGGTTTGTGGTGGCTGGAACATTACCTCTCTTGGTGATTGGAATAAAGCTGCTATTTGCAAGGTTCTTTGGGATCTTGCTCACAAATCTGACAATATGTGGGTGAAATGGGTGCATACCTATTATTTCAATAATAGGAATATTTGGACTGCCACTATTCCTAAGAAATGCTTCTGGGTTTTGAAGAAAATCTTGACTTGCAGAGATATTATTGATGATATTGGTGGTTGGTCCTCTATTATGAAAAATAGGAAAATGAGTATTGCTAAACTCTATGCCCGGATTCGACCCCAGGCTCCTAAAGTAGGGTGGAAAAGAATTTTTTGCAATAACCAAGCCGTTCCTAAGAGTATTTTCATTACTTGGTTAACTTTGCTTGACAAACTTGCCACTAAGGATAGAATTGTCAAGTGGAATGCAAGTTGTGATCCTATTTGCTTTTTCTGCCAGAACTCTTGTGAATCTGTCTCTCACTTGTTCTTTTGCTGTCCATACTCCAAGACTATTTGGGAACAGATTTTGAAGCTGCTTGATGTGAAAAAAGCAGTTCAACCGTTTCACATTGAACATCAATGGATAGTTAAGAATTGTAGGAAGTCTAGCAGCAAGGGTAGAGTATACTCTATGTGTTTTGCTGAGGCTATCTACAATATATGGTTGCAGAGGAATAGTTTGATGTTTACAGGTGACTGTAAACCTGTAGAAACTATCTTTCATGACATTATCTATCATGTTGCTATTAGGTGTAAAGGAACAGACAGGAAGCTGCTTTTGCTTCACTGAATTCTGGTGTTGCAGCTGTCTGTTGTTTATGGTCTGTTCTGGTTTGATGGCAGCTGGTCAGCAGCCTGTTTTGGTTGGTTTTGGCAGCTGGTTTCTGTTGAATTGTTGTTGCTGCTCTGTTGCTCTTTCTGTTCTGTTGCTGTTACTGTCTTGTGCTGTTGCAGTGCTGCTTTTGTTTGTTGCTGTTGCTGTTTGTTGCTGGTGCAGTCTGTGTGCTGTTGCTGGTGTTGCTGCTGTAATGCTGGGTTGCAGTTGTTGCTGCTGCAGTGCTGGTTCAGCTCTGTTGCTGCTGGTTTTCTGCTGTTGCAGTGCTATGTGCTGCTCTGGTTTGCTGCTGTGGTTAGGGTGGCAGCTGGTGGTTCAGGTGTTTGCTGTTGCTGTTCCTAGCTGCTGCTGCTGCTGCTCTGGGTGGCATCTGGTGGGTTGCTGGTGTGACTTTTGTTCTGCTTGCTACTGCTCTAGTTGTTGTTGCCTGGTTGTTGGTTTCTCGATGTTGTTGTCCTGGGTGCTGCTGTTAGCAGCTGGCACAGTTGCTGTCTGGAACTGCTGCTGTTTTGTTGATGTCCCTGGGGTGCTGCTATTGCTGCTCTTGGGTTGGTTGTTGCTTGTTGGTTGTAGCTTCGATTTTCTTTTCTTTTAGGGGTTCCGTAGTTGTTGTCTTTGTTTTGCCTTCGGGCTTTGGTTTTGTTGTTTTTTTTGGCCCAAAGGGCATGTATTGAACTTTCATATCTTGTAGTTACTACTCTTTTGGGTAGTAACTCTTTACTTTTGGTAATAAAATTCTTTATTTACCAAAAAAAAAAAAAGAAGTAAGAAAGAAAAAGAAAAGAGAAAGGGAGAGCGGGGTTTAAAACCCCGGAGTAAAAAGGCGCGCCCGATCGGGCGAAGGTGGTTAAGTGGGATTTGTAAAGTGCGCGCCCGATTAGGTGCGAACGCGAACTTGGGAATCGCCCTTTGCTCGCCCGATCGGGCGAGCTTCGCCCGACATTTCTTTTTGTGGCACTCGATTTCTCCAAAATTCTGCCCGATCGGGGGAAATTTCCCTTGATTTCTTAACTGACTTGCGCGCCTGATCAGGTGTCCTTGCCCGATCGGGCGAAATTAAGCTCGAATATGAACCTTAGGTGCGCGCCCGATCGGGCGAGCCTAGCCCGATCGGGCATGTACCCAAGTCCGGAACTTCTTTTTCTTTGCCCTTTTTCCCTTGAAACCTTCGTACTTTGTGATCTAAAACCTGTACAAAACACTCATAAAAGGTAAAATTCACTCTCCTCACCTCTCTAAGGAAAAGTAAAAATAAAAATAAAATGAAAATATTAGTCCAGAAAGTAAGAAATACGGGTTGCCTCCCGCAAAGCGCTGGTTTATCTAGGTCCCGCACGACCTTCTTACCAAGTACAAAAACTAGGACCCTTGGCTTAACGCTTGATCGGGCGGTTTCTCGCCCGGTTTAGCGATGTTTAGGCTACGACGCGGCTTTCTGACATACCCTGTGGGAAGCCAATTCACCTTATCTGGTGGATCCTCCTTGACTTGGGTAAGGGGTTCTTCAATGTTACGCACCAAATATCCCTCTTTGATCGAGGGTTGCTTCAAATAATTACATTCAACACTCGCTACTCGATCTGGCGGAACACTTCCCATAGGCTCCAATCGCACAACTTGCTTGATTGATTCCACCTTTTCGTCCTCAAAACCAAGGCCAACATTGTAGAGTGCTCTTTCTATTGCATCAACTTCCTTCTGCCATCTATCTATCTCATCTAAAAAGGATGCAACACAAGATACCGCCTCCAAGGGATCTTTTTCAAGAGCTTGGGGCTTGTTAAAATAATTCTCAACCACATTAACACTGAAACATTTCTCCTCATTCATGGAGCTTTTAGGGGTATTATTAAGATTAAAAATAACTTTATCATCCCCTACTAATAGTGTTAACTTACCACTTCTCATATCTATGATTGCTCTTGTAGTGTTAAGGAATGGTCTACCCAAGATAATTGGGGTTTGCATATGCTCAGCCATATCAAGAACAACAAAATCAACAGGTATATAAAATTTATCTACTCTAATGGGGACATCCTCTAAAACACCTAAGGGGTATTTGAAAGAATGGTCGGCCATTTGTAGAGTTATATTGGTAGCTTTTAATTTACCCTTATTCAACTTGGAACACAATGATAATGACATGACGCTAACGCTAGCACCCAAATCACACAATGCATTATCAATCATTAGATTGCCTATATGACAAGGGATAAAAAACTACCTGGATCTTTTAATTTAGGTGGAGACTTATTTTGAAGTACGGCACTACACTCTGCAGTGAAAGATACTGTCTCTACCTCACTAATAGACCTTTTCCTTGTCAATCTTTCTTTCATAAATTTTGCATACGAAGGAAGTTGTGTGATTAATTCAGTGAAGGGAACTGTTAACTTCAAATCTTTCACCATCTCCAAGAACTTACCAAACTGCTTATCCAAGTTTATCTTCAAGTGGCGATTGGGGAATGGAAGTTTGATAATTGGCTTTGGAGCATTATTGCTCTTATCTGGAGTAGCCACCTTCTCTGGAGCCGTACACTGCAATGTAGAATTAGATGTATTAGTACTATCCTTTAGCCCTGCAGGGCTATTAACTACAATTGTTTGGTTTAACGGAATCAAGATTAGCATTATTTAATAAATCAGGTTCATCAACTCTGGGCATAGAGGGCCCTTCATAGTTTGAACCACTCCTTAGAGTAATTGCATATGCTTGATCCGTAGGCCTGGTCGGCTGTGCCGGCAGAGCTCCCTGTTGGCGGGCTTGTAGAGTAGCGGAAAGTTGCGCAATTTGATTATCTACAATTTTATTGTGCGCTAGAATTGAATCAATTGTCGCATCTCTACTCTCCATGTGCTTCTACATATTAACCAACATCGCTCTAATTTCCACCAGAGAAGGGTCGAAAGATGAGGAGGGTTGTTGTGGTTGGTTCTTCTGGCCAGCATTGGGATGGTAATATTTCTGCTGTTGTTGTTGTGGCGCCTGTGGTTCTTGTTGTGGTGGATTTTGAAAGTTAGTACTTAGGTAGGAAAGGTACGGATGGTTCCGATACCCAGGATTGTAGGTGTTGGAGTATGGGTTATTCTGCCTATAAGCTTGAAAGGCATTAACTTGCTCCACGGAACTCCTGCAATCTTGTTCCCAATGACCTAAAATACCACAACTTTCACAGAAAGCCTCATTAGAATTATTATTAATCGTAGAAACATTAGCTACATTGGTAGTGCTAAGATTATCTAATTTTTGGCATATAGAGGTCAGTTGAGCTTGCAAAAAGGATACAGAGTCAACACTATGTTTCCCCTTGTTAGCAAATCCTCTAGGATTCCCATATTGGGAATTCTGTATCGCCATATCTTCAATAACGTGACCAGCATCATCAATGTTAAGATTCATAAATCTCCCACTAGATGCAGAATCTAAAATTATTCTAGAAGAATTTCCAATGCCATTATAGAAGGCTTGGATTAACTTCCATTGTGCTAAATTATGATGGGGACATTCTCTTTGTAGGTCCTTGAACCTCTCCCAAGCCTCATATAAAGATTTATCGGCTTCTTGGGCAAAGTTCTGAATCGCACTCCGTAGTACGGTTGTTGATGTGTCTATTTTATATAGTATTTTACCCCCGTCCCTTGGTCATAATTAGTAGTGTTTTTGGCTCTTTAGAGCCACTTTTATTACTAATTGGTGTTTTCTAGTGTTTTCGTAGATTTGGTTGGCTTTTGCAGGGATTTATGCTTTTGGAGTATTTTCCCGAGATATTTTGGAACAATCACGAATATTGGAGAAGCACGACCAGATTTTATAGCCCAGGGCCGGTTAGAGCCATCAAACCGGGGATTAAGGGCTTAGTATGTGTGATACCGGGGCATTTGGACCGAGTTATCAAGACCCAAAGAGGAAACCCAAATTGGCCCGAAGAATTGGAGCCCAATCGTAGTCCAAATACTGGCCCAAGAGAGCCGCCCGGCCAAAAAGGCTGGCGCCCGGAGGCGCACCTGGCCGGGCGGGAGAAGCTTAGTCTAGGGTTTATGGGGATCTAATAAATAATATGAAGGGGTAATTTGTTGTTGTTAATTATCAATGCTAGATTAATTTCCTATTGATTGATTTAATGCTCTGTGACTAGATTAGGCCTATCTTTTATGCATGAGTTTGACAATATTGATTCAAGATTCGAGAGATGAGAATTAATGTTTAGGTTTAGTTTCAATAGGCAGGTTAATTTATAAATGGTTAAGTCGAGATTCGAGAGATGAGAATTAATGTTTAGGTTTAGTTTCAATAGGCAGGTTAATTTATAAATGGTTAAGTCGAGATTCGAGAGATGAGATTTAATACCGGTAGATTAATTCTGTGATTGTAATACGTAGCGAAAGCCCTTTACAATCTGGTTAATTGATGAATTGATGATGGACTATTATTGATTATTGATATTGCATGATAATTTCCTGTTGAATTGATTTAATGTTTTACAATCGCGGTTTGTAAAAGTATAGCAATATTAAATTGATGAATCGAGCAGATGTTAATTTGATATTAAAGGCTATTTTCAATAAGAACTTAGATCCAATAAATTGCGAGAGCCAATTAGATCTATGTTGATTAATAAATTGCGAGAGCCTGTTAATCATGTTATTTATGCAATGTCAATGATTGATTACTATGTTTTACCCTGGAGTATTATTTATTGGTGAACCTATGCCCTAGATCCTTTTATATATTGCTTTTTCCCCTATTCCTTTTCCTTGTAGTTTAGTTTCATACTCAAATATAAATATTGGTTACTTAGATAATTTAGATTATAATAATTAATTAGGAGTAAAAAGACTTGTTTCCCTGTGGAGATCGACCATACTTCCCTATCTACTTTAGTTAGAGGATTTAGGTATTTACTTTTGATTAGAGGATACGACTTTACCTTGTCAGCTGTTCTCTCTGCAGGATAATACTTGTTATAGAAATTCAAAACAAGAGTTTCCCAGTCATTTATACCAAGTGCAGTTCTATTTAAGCCATTAAACCACAATTTAGCTTTTCTAGTTAAAGAAAAGGGAAAACGAATCTCCCTGATTTGGTCTTGAGTGACCCCGGCTTGCCTGATGGTATTACAATATTGACAATAGTCGGCAATGTGAAGATTCGGGTCTTCACCCTTAGCTCCACTAAATTGCTTCCTCTCTATCATCGTTATAAATTGAGGTTTAATTTCGAATTGAACCCCATCAAGAGCCGTAGAGGGAGTGAGATGTGGAAAATCTTAAAGCTTTGGTTGTGAGTAATCACTAAGCTTCTTTGGAACCGCCATCTCTGATTCTGGATCTGATGATACCTCTGAATCGCTAGAACCAGTTGGAGGATCGCGGTGATTATTATTATCATCACCAGAATCCGCCAGGATTTGCTTGTAGAGATTTTTCTGTCTATGAAAGGAACGCTCGATATTAGGATCGAATGGGATGTA